AGTGAAGTGTGGACTGTTTCTATGCAAACAAAGGCCCGTGGGTACCATTTTATTTTTCTCGGACCTCGAAAAATTGAAACACCGTGGGAAAAAATGAGTTTTTGTGCTCAATCGCATTCTTTTGGCGGGTTTCGTGGCTCAGAAAATCAGAAATCAATCACAAAAATTTCTATGACCACGAAAAACACGTGCAGAGAAGTGGTGACTGGCACTGTAACACCGGTGGGTTCGGCTTGAGTTCGGCCTACCATCCGTGTCGGAGCCATCAGTTCCTGTGACCGATTAGGGCAACAGGTCTCAGGTTATCTATCCATAGTGATGGCAAAGTTCGGTTCGGTTCAGGTTCGGGCCCTTTTTCCCGAACCTTGAACCTGAACCTGCGTTCAAGTTCGGTTCAGCGTTCGAACGCGTTCGAACGCGTTCGAACCTGTCGAACCTGAAAGTTTTTCCCAGGCCCAAAATGACCTACCTGGGGCTACAAAAAATGCTATCAGTGGTCCATTATATTGGAACTTACATCCCAGAACAATTGCAAGCACATACAACGCCTACACAGCAGCAATCTGAACAACTCCGTACTCAAAAGATCATGTGACAACACACCGGCTGAGTCCTGCGAGGGTAAAACCAAGGTGAGGAACCTTTAGAGTCATTCGGAAGGAGGATGACGGATGGTAGAGAGTATAACCAATGAAATTTTGTGCAAAATTCGGGAAAATAAGACTCAATTGGGTTAAAACAGGGCCTTTGGGGTTCAATTGAGGTTCAGGTTCGAACGCGTTCGGAAAAAATCGTGATAGCCCGAACCTTGAACCTGAACCTGGGGTTCAGTTCAGTTCGGTTCAGGTTCGAACCTGTTTCTGAACCGAACCTTGCCATCACTATCTATCCACGCCATGGACCCCCTCCATCGGGCTCCATCCTCCACGCTTCCGCAGCGCGTGCGTCCGCGTCCTGCTGTCTCTATAGCGTCGAGGGTGTACGCAGCGCATCTCCCTACACCCGCACTTCTCACTCGATCGTCCTATTTCCTCCGCCTACTCGCTAATACTCCATTCCAGATCCAAGTCCTCGTGCGCCTCCCCTCGCTCCCTCTGCACGGCATTGAGCGCGCGCTCCCGGGCCGGGTGCGCGAAGACGGTCATCCCGGCGAAGGTGGGGGAATAACCTTGGTAGCGTCTTTGTGTCTATCGATTGTGATTCTTGTTATGTTCTTCCCTGCGTTCCATCTCCTTCCCCATGTACGCCCTCTCTGTCTCTTTCCACCTCGTCCGCTGCGTCTCCGCACATCCCGCATCATCGCCGTCATACTCTTCCGCATCCAGCCCGTTCACGCTCTTCCCTCCATTCCGTCTCTCCGTGTCTTCGCCCGACCCACTCCTTGCTCCATCCACCCACCCCAGTCCCCGCGTCCCTGCCCGATCTTCCTGATCTTCCGCTCTTTCTCGTCAGCGTTCGCGTCCGCCTCTGCCTCGTGCCACGTCCTACGTGCGCGTCGCAAATGGGCGCACTTTGCCGTGCCCCCGAGTCCTCGCCCCGCATCCCGTCCGCCTCTTCACCGCCCCTTCGCACGCCCCTCCGCGTCCCCCGCCTCTTCCCTTCTCCCCTCCTCCGCACCCCCTGCCCCGAATTCTACGCTGTACCCCCGCTCTGCGCCTTGCGCCTTACGCCTTCCCCGCGCCTCTCCTCGTCAGCTCCTTCCGCGTGCCGCATTTATTTCCTGTCCTTTCCGTCTCGCCAACATGTTTTCGTCGTAACTAACTCCTCCGTTCACAGATTCGTGCCCCGCAAACCCCCGCGGCCGTCGAGCGCAAGTTTGCGAAGCTTGGAGCTGTGCGTCGTGCTTCTTCTCTTTTTTTTCGAGGGCGGGAGAGTGGCATGAGGGACTGGGATGATTTGCGCAGTGTATGTGGCTCGCGGAACGGACGCGGCGAGGGCGAGCTGGGACGAGGGCATCCGGCACGTGGGGGATGATACGCCGCTGGCACGGTGCGGCGCGAGTTCCCGGGCGGGAGCAATGCGGCGTGCGCGGGGGTGCGGGGGAGGTGTACGCGGAGAGTCGGTGTCAGCGTGCGTCGTCGCCGGGCGGGGTGTATCCGCGGCGCGCAGCGCGGAAGAACATTGCTGGGGCCGGTGTCGTGCGCGCGGAGGGCGCGGAAGCTCATGGAGGGCGCCTGGCGGCGTGGGCGCAGAGGGTGGCTTGCGACACGGGAGCGGGGGGTGACGCGGGAGTGGGGCTGCTCGATGTCCGTGGAGCGCGCCTTGCGGTGTTTGCGTCGGGAGCGGACCGGGGGTGACGCGGTGCGCGGCATCTGCGCGTCTCCATCTCGGAGTGTGTGGTTGCTCTTCAGCATCCGTGGATCGGGTCGGAGATGCGCTGTGCCGCGAAAACTGCACGTTTCACGGACGCGATGTAAGCGCAGCGCGCGCGCCCACGTTGTTGTCGCGTGCCAGAGTCCGGATGAGATGGTGCCCGGTCGGAGAGCTGCTACGTGCGCACCACTCCCGTTGGGTGTGAACGGAATGCAGTCGGTGGTGTTTCCCGGTGCCCCGGGATCCGGCCAGTTGTTGCTTGGCTGCTTAGGCGTATGTATGTATATTCCATGGCGATCTACTTGGTGCCGTTTTGTAGTGCTGTGTGCAACGGAGAGTCGTTCGAATATACGTAAGTACTTCAATACCAGAATGTACTAAGTAGTATGCGACGCCGCGGAAACGGCGCACCGAAAAGGGTGCAGAGCGAGACGATCTCGAGTCTAATATAATGTGTGTATCTCCATCTCGACAAAGCCGAGGAGCCGGAAGGATTCAATTCAATCGTAGCCTACGTTAACACGACTCCACTGTGTATATCTGTGAACGGCGTTGAGTAGGTAATTGATGCAATTTTGATCCCACACAACATAGACGGAGTCAACAAAGGATGTGGATTCAAATGTTGGAGTCGACACCCTTGGCTTCGTGAAATTTCCGGAGGAGCTCGTATTGTCTGGCAGTCCAGAAACATTTCCCCCCGAATATCGTGAAGACGACCTGAGGGAGACCCAGTTCGGAAGCGGAATCCTCCCCCAACAGTAAATACCCTTTCGCCAAAAGAATGTCATCCTCGCGCAAGGGGCCCCCAAGGTCCCATTGCGTCAAAAAGGATTCAAGCTGAATAATCGTCAAGTTCTAGAATGACTCCAGCTAGGGGACTTGCGCACCTCCAGTGAGATCAGACTGTCCAGTGACGGAATCTCGAATTCGCGCAACGCGAGTTTGTAGTGGCGCGGCGGGTTGTCGCGCGCTGGATCGGTCCCAAGCTGCTGGAAACACACCTGAGACTGGGAAGTCCCGACTGGAAAATTGGCGCACATCGCTAGACATCTGCATGTCCTGTAATGCGAAGTGCTGAACTCGTCCGGGGAGTCCTCGGCTATGGGTTCGGCACTGAGCTGCTGAAACCGCAATGAGGACACGAAATGACCGGCATCGGGAAAGCATACTGGGAGCAACAAAGTGCGGTCGTGTGAGCGTAAGACGATTCCAGGGACGCGCTTGACTCCCTCCTTGACGCTGATGGACTGTAGCTATGATTCGTCGATGGTGAGCCTGCCAAATTGGATATCCGGGGGAGCAGCTCACCATCTGTGAGAAGCAATTTCCTGGCAGCGATCTTGGTTCAAAGAGAAGTAAATCTCGAGGTATGATGGAGAATGCGGGAAGGTGGGGTGTTGGTTGAGGTTGGCTGTGAGGAGGCGAGTGCTTACACTCTGCGGCACGGCTCGACGAGAACAATAAAGAGCAATGTCCAGTGAATGATCGTCGAAGTGGCTTTTCTTGGACCCACGTTACACTGTCTTTTTGTCTTGACTGTTCGTATCAACAATAGAAGCTCGTTCCGGCATCTGCCGAGCGGAGATTGAATGAATCAACATTACATCGAGGGAATTCATCCCCGGCGCGACCATCGGCCAATTCGACGCGGGCGCGGACCATCCGCTACCAGGCCTTTCTTGGATTACCTACGCATGGAATTAGATCAGCATTCTTTCGCAGGAGAGAAGGGAGAAAAATGATGCGGACACACCCAAATATGACCCGGGCTCGAATCGAACGAGCGACTCCTACAGAACATCCCGCTTTCTCAACACGGAATGCAGAGATGGACCATCCCCACCGGCCTCCGTGTATCGCCCACGCACAAGATCAAACGGGCATTCTCGTGTGGAAAAGGAGAAAGAGATTCTCAGCACTACGACTAAGGCCCGGGCTCGAATCGAACGAGCGACCCCTGCAGAACGAAATGCCCAAAATATGGAATGCAGGCGCGGACCATCCGCTACCGGGCCTTCTAGCGGCTCCTTGCACTCCAAATGAGACAAAGATTATTGCACAGGAAAGGAGGGGGAAAATGAAGGTGACTCGCCCAAGGCCCGGGGTCGAATCGAACGAGCAACACCTGTGACATGGAATTATCCCAGTTATGGAATGCAGGCGCGGACCATCCGACACTGGCTCTATCTTGTATCCCCGCGACGAAATTACATATGCATTGTTCACCTGTAGAGGGAGAAACAACCTTCCGAACGCCACAAGGCCCGGGCTCGATTCGAACGAGTGACTCCTGCGAACCCCGAAATTTGTGAATTATGGGATGCAAGCGCGGACCATCCGCGACCGGGCCTTCCCTGTATTGCCTGGGCATGAAATTGGATGGGCATCATTTCGCAGGAAAGAGCGAAAAAATCAGTGCGACGTACACATGACCCGGGCACGGATCGAACGAGCACACTTGCAGAACCCAGGAATATGCCAGTTATGGAATGCAGGCCAGATCATCCGCTACCGGACCTTTCTGGTATCGCCTGGCATGAGATTAGATGGGCATCCTCGTGTGGAAAAAATGAGAAAGAATTGTCTTCGTACGAGACCAAGGCCCGGGCTCGATTCGAACGAGCAACTCCTGCAGAACGAACGATTTCCACTCTATGGAACGCAGGCGCGGCGCATCCGCTACCGGGCCTTCTGATATCACCTGCGCATGGAATTGTTTCACAGGAAAGAGGGACAAAAAGATTTACAGTATACCACGACGATGGCCCGGGCTCGATTTGAACGAGCGACTCCTGCGAACACCAAGGGATCCAAACATGGAATGCAGGAACGGACCATCCGCTACCGGACCTGTTTGGTATCCCCTATGCATGTAATAGATGAGCATTGTTGGGCAGGAAAAGAGAAAAGGTGCAAACAGATTCACGGCCCGGGCTCGAGTCGAACGAGCGACTCCCGCGGGACTTATGGTGCCCCCATGATAGGATGCAGGCGCAGACCATCCGCTACCGGACCTTTCTCTCGTTACCTGCGCATGAAAGTAGATGGGCACCGTTTCAAGGAAACAGGAGAAAGAATCACGTGGACACTCGAATATGCCAACCCGGGCTCCAGTCGAACGAGCGACTCCTGCAGAATACAGTAACAAACCCCCTAGCGAAACGCCACGAGCGAGCGAAACACTGGATTGTTTATATACTTAGAGGTTTCCGACAGCTCCGAAATTTGTGAGGTGAAATTCCTCGGTATAAAACTCCCATCCGCAAAAGGAATTGGGTCAAACGATCCTGTGGCGTGCTCAGGATTTAATTTTGTTTGGGCCATTATTTGGCCCATTTTCCCGTAAATTCCCCGAGCACTGGCGCATCATCGTGTCGCCCGTTGTTGGCTCTCCAACATGTCACACAAGGGTTTTCAGGGGCTGGGACGCCGAATATCACCATTCCGCGGCTTCAATCCGGCCATTTGAGGCTCCGGCCGGTATTTTCTAGTGTTTCGCTCGCTCGTTATTTGGCCAAATTTGGCCTCTTGGGCAAAGCACGCTCGTTCTCCACCAAAGCCCTATCGAATCACAGACCTCTTTATATATCCAGGTATCCGGAAGCAGGCCTATAATTACAGATAAAGATCCCGGCCAATTACGACCTACACAACAGTAGCAAGCGCCGCCTTTCTTGGCAAGTTGGGCGTTTCGCTAGGGGGTTTGTCACTGTAGCGAACTGTCAAAAAACCATGCATAGAATGCAGGCGCGGACCACCCGCTACCGGACCTTTCTGGTATTACGTGCACACGAGATTGGATGGGCATTGTTCTACGGGAGAGGAGGGCGAAAAATAACAGGCCCGACCGAATGACTCGGGCTCGATTCGAACGAGCGGCTCCCGCAGAACTCCGAAGCCCCAGAATATGCAATGCGGGCACGGACCATCCGCTACCAGGCCTTCGTGTTGCAGCCTGCGCACGAGATGGATGATCATTATTTGGCAGGAAAGAGTGGCGAAAGAAATCACGCGGATGGACCAAGATATGACCCGGGCTCGAATCGAACGAGCGACTCGGCGGAAACGCAACTTTCAAAACACATGCATGAAATGCAGGCGCGGATCATTCGCTACCGGGCCCCCCTGCATGACCGGCGCACGAGATTATTTGGCAGGAAAAGAAGCGACGAAATCACGCGGACCGACCTACACCATGACCCGGGCTCGATTCGAACGAGCGACTCCCGCGGACTGTGGTGTCGAAATGATGGGATGCAGGTGCGGACTATCCGTCACCGAGCCTTTTTGGTATTGCCTACACATGAAATTAGATGGACATGATTTCACTGAAAAAGGGACAAATATGATCGGGCTCGATTCGAACGAGCGATGTCTTCAGAATGGTGCATGAATTGTATGAAGGGACGGACCACCCACTACCAGGCCTTTGAACTATAACCTGCGCACGAAATTATGCGAGAATTATTGCACAGGAAAGGAGGGCAAAAAACTTACTAGAACCGAGATATGACCGGGCTCGATTCGAACGAGTGACTCCTGCAGGACAAGTGGATTCGCGACATTGGATGCAGAGACGGACCATCCGCTACCGGGCCCTCTTTTTATAGCCTGCACATGGAACAGATGGGCATCTTCGAAGGGAAAAGGGGAGAGAAATTTCTGGTGGCTTACAGAGTTATCTCGGGACTTTTTTTGATTCGGTTGAGTAGCACTCGATGGGTTGGAGGGAAACACGCACCATCTGGTATTCGATATATTCTGAAACTAAGAGTGATCCACAGTGTAATTGTCGGAATTCGGTGACACTTATTAACTCTGTGATGATCGATGTAAATTGTGCTTGGTTAGAAACAGGAGGGTGCACACTACCATCGTGATAGATCAGCGCATTTACACCGCGCGACTCTGCTACACCAAATAGTTGAAGCACGAAGGGGAGCCTTATCGGGTTTTCTTTTACACGCCGCTGAATTTATAAATTGGTCGACATACCGCACTGATTGGCGCCTTTCGGCTTCAGCCTGCCACTGGAGAGAGCAAAATTGGTCCAAATTAATCGTAGCACAGAGGTTGGAGACCTTCCCGAACTGGGATCCTTCATAGACAACCGCCGTCATGGGGTCCTGGTTGCCAAAGATGCGCGCACGATAGATTTTGCGGGTTCCGGCGGTGACCTTTCGCTGTACAAGAGCAGCTCCGCGCCGTTCGACCACATCGGAGGTCAGCGCCTCCTCGTTGCCCATCTGCGTCAGGAGATTCAGGTCCCCCAGGCGAATCGTGCGGAAATCTGGTCGGCGTAATCAGCGCTGTAATCAAGGAGCTGGACAGATCACACCAGATGGCGGGGAGCGAGGTCGCTCCCAGACGTTGAAGATCCCGCCGGCGATGGTGACGTTGCTGCAGTGGTGGAACATAGTAGATACGGAGGGGAAGGTGAGGGCAAGGAGATAAGAACCTTCAGGGCGGTGTTTCGACGGGTGGGCATTTACTGTACGTGAGACCAGTAGTAGGACAATTTTCCTAATAATAAAGTGACAACGAGAAACAAGAAGAGACGGCACCCCCCGTGATCAATTCCGCGTCGATCCACCGCTTTGGAAATGGCTTGCGAACGATATAATACACCACGTGTTTGGACAATGTGGTGGAGATTCTTTTCGTAGGTCGGACAGCATTGGGAAAAGAAACTGCAGACGTTCTGAGATGGTCCAGTAAAGCTCAGAGCTTGACAGATGACACAAGATAACACACCGCAAGGTGCATTTTTAGATCAAGGGTCCCTGGCACTTCCTGTGATAGCTTTCGGCCTCTTTCGGCGGAGCAGACGACTCGGAGGGGCCTGTGCGAGGCAGCGACTGGGCTCAGCTGGGCGATCTTCTGGGGAGTTTGTGCGGGGGCGACGATTTTGTAGTCCTCTACACTGAGATCGCAACTTAGACAGATGTAGCACTTCCATTTCGACCTCACGAGTGTGGAAGAAGGACGTGTACGTCATCGAAGCCGAATCGAACTCCGTCCGGGATAGCCCGGCCGCCGAATCTCGGCAAATCGGCGGCAGTTCGAATCTTCAATTGTGGCACACTCCATTCCCGAAATTGAGGGCTCCCGCACCCACAAATACACTCGGCTTAGACTTTCAATGGAAATAAAAGCATGTATGATCTTGTAAGCAGCGCCAATAAAGACCTCCCGCTGAACTCATCCGAGCCGAACGGGGACCTTCCACCGAACCATGCTATTGGCGTTAGTGGTGTGGGCGCGGTCCGTACTCCAGCAGGCTTCCCTCCTTTTGTTCTCGAGCTTTTTGAGTTCAAGGAACGCATAGGCGGATGGAATTCAAGAATCTACTCGGCCTCGGCACTCATGTGCGCCAGAATTGTAATACATTTCGAGTCTCGCACTTCCGCATCAGTAGAAAATAAAAAAGCTTAGGTAGACGAGTTGTTGCCGCGGAATGGTATTAAACGAGGGCTTCCGGGGTACATAAGATACACCGAGAGTACAGACAGTTTGCAGCCAGGCTTGCAGAATTCTCCTCTGGATTCTGCATTAATTCATTTATGCAGCTGTTCAGTCTGCTATCACAATTTTAACAGGACTTCGCACAGACATCAATATAGCTTGCGCATTTGACTGAAGCTTTAGCTAGCGAGATCAACGCAACGTGCACGCAGATCAGACTTTCATTCCTCTATACGTGATAATGCCTTCATCCGCGAGTTTGGTCAATATTCTGTGCCAAAGTGAGGGCTGTACATATGCGGCAGTCCAACCCGGAGTCGAATTGCAAACATTCTGCGCGGTCATGGTATAGCCTGATCTCGAGTCGAACTAGGGCTCCCACAGAACACGTCAACTCCATGTTAAAGATATTACGGTGTGTGGGCGCGGACCGTCCGCTACCAGGCTTTCCTGGCTGTATATTCGGAGGTTGGTTTATGTAGCAGCTCAACCAGCCATCAAAAGAGCAAAGCCTTTGACCGTGTCGTCGAATGGCTTCTCCTGCAGATAAAACTACTACAAGACCACGCATTACTGAGCCCAGTATCGATTTATATACCCATCGGCGTAGGTGGGAAAAGGAAACACCTTCAAGATTATAGCCTGGCCTCGAGTCGAACGAGGAATTCCCGCAGATAATGGCAGCTCAAACTATCACCACAGTGCACGGGGGCGGACCGTCCGCCACCAGGCTTTCCTTGCTCTTCCATTTCCTTTATTCAGGCAGCAGGTTCAACCCAGGTTTGAAGTACAAAATTTCTTGTGCTGCTATGCATAGCCTGGCCTCGAGTCGAACGAGGGCTCCCACAGATAAATCTACAGGACCAGGGTGTGTGGGCGCAGAACTGCCACTATCAGGGTTTCCTCGGTTGGATTCGAGGGTTGATATAGGTAGCAGCTCGTCTTGAAACGCATGAAAGAAAAAATAGATACCAGCACGAGCTTGCTTGCATACCCTGACCTCGAGTCGAACGAGGAGTTCCCGCAGACAATAGCAACTTCACATTACTACGGTGTGTGCGCGGGGACTATCCGCCACCAGGTCTATTTCCTACACTCTGGACTCGCGATTCACGCTGATTCTCGAGTCGCACTCCAGTCGCGTGACCGCGCCGCCGTAACCCAATGCGGACTGATCCCTGATCTGATTAACTGTTCTTTAAGATGCTCGTTCGGCTGTGCTCTTTCCCCATCTATTCTTCGCCCTTTGCTCAATCTCAGCCCTGCCTCTGTCTCTAGCTCCATTAGACTCCAAAGCTTCTCACTGTGAATTCGGACTGTGCCGCAAATTTCCTGACTTCCGTTCCCACAATGGCCGACGCCACCAGGTTCCATGCTAAATCGAACTGCGCACTACAAAAATACTGAACTATTTCAGACCATTGAGCACAGGCGAGGTGCAGTGTTCCCAAGCTACGTCACAATTTCCTAAACCGTGTTCCCATTTCTCACTGCGGCGCAAAAGTACTAAATTTATAGCACTGTGCTGTAGTCGATGAAGGCGCAAGATC